TACCCTAAGCGCAGTAGGAATCGGCCGGTCGAGGGTGCGTGGCGGTGCGTTGCGACCCCTGATGAGTACCGATTTGGCGCAATTCGGCTCTATCCCAGCCTTTCCGCACTTTTTTTCTTTCGATTCTGATTGCTTTCTTTCTTTGGGTTGTGTTAGAGTTCTCAGAAATCGTCAGCTAATGTGCCGGAAAGATTAGTACGGCACCCCAGGCAAAAAGGTATGTGCAGCGCAGCAACGCAACCGCAGCGCGCCCTTGATTGGCCGATTCTTATTGCGCTTATAAGCGTTGTATGGGTCGGCCGATTTGAATCGGCCGATCCTTATCAAGTATGGAGATATTCTTACCGGCAAAATTTTAGCATACCGTGATGATCTTCGCAAAACGCATTCTTTTGATAAAATCATTTTCTAATTAAAGTACCCCATACTTCTACTATTAAAGTGCGTCCCCTTTACTTTTGAGAGATTCTATTTGTAAGTCTTATCCTTCTTTATTTGCTTTTCTTCACTTGGGCTGATTCCGGTAAATATTATAGTATTTAACTAATTTTAGGCTCAAAGATACTCGTCAGGTAGCCATTGATGGAGTAAGGATTAGACGTGTTGGAATTTCCTCGCTGTTGTTGTCGAACTTGATGGGCACCGATTCTGGGTTGTATACCTGCAGAGCTAGCAACACTCTCGATTCTCTTGACCGGACAGTTGCTGTTCATGTCGCAGGTGAAAGAAGGAGTTAATTTTAAACAAATTCACCGCCATCTCGCATTATCAACAGGATCATCTCTTTAAGGGGTATTGACTCCCTGGTTCAATATGTACCATTATTAAATTTCTGGAAATCATGAATTCGTTGCTTTAACTAGCTATCAAAGCTTATTGATTTCTTGATTTTACGGCAAAATTTATTGCAGAAAAGGCTTGGTTAATTTTTAATCTGTCTGCACAGTCGTTGCTCTAATAACAGTTTGAAAGTATCTCTTTTCAGTGGAGCCGAAGCTAACCGCACGCCCTGAAAGTAAAGCGGCTTTGGAGACAGCCGACGTTGAGGTAATAGGTTGTTTTGCTTTTTGTTTTGCAATTCGCTCAATTCGTAATGCCAATGATATTAGCATATGGTCATGTTCAGTTTGAATGTTTGTCAACGGGAAGTCCATCTCCTACTGTGTCATGGTTCAAAAACGGCGAGGCCATTATTGCCAGCCACTACTTTGTCATCGAACCAACTAGGTACGATCCGATTTGTCACTACATAGTTCCAATTAGGTTGTTGAAAGTTTAGACTGCGCATTCTTGGCCTTGTCAAGGCTGATCAGGGGATTTACCAATGTATCGTGGACAACGAAGCGGGTAGTGATCAAGCCGCAGCCCAGCTCCTGGTTGATAACGCAGGTAGTTTACAGTTTCTCTTAAGATTGCTTCTCTCTTCATTTCGTTCGCTTCTTTTCTGACAGGGCCCACTTACCTGTCTACTATTGGTATTAATAGCAGCACCCTGAGTGCACGAACTAGTCCTATCTCTTTCTCAGCTGATGGTTGGTTTCAAAATTCCACCGACCTTTTGGGATGATGTGTGCTTACAATTAATTGCATGATTCAGTTTTACTATGAGTGCATTACTTGTGTGTTTCCGAGCACTTACGATTTTAACATTTCTAATGTACTTCCAGTGAGATACTCTTGCCCATTACGTAGAATTTTAACCTCATATCAATTTCCATAAATCTCAAAGCATAAAGTTCTGAGGTATAACTTGGATGAAAGAATTGTCTTGAACGATGCTTGAACAGTACTCACACAACTGAACAATTTTTTCTATCATCGACGGTATATATTGTTTTTAGATTCTTCGTCCATTGCTGCTTCATCTGGGCAACCTCTGATTGCTTCTGCTCCTTTGGGCCTGAAAGTTGCATCTCTTGGTAAGTTGTTATTTGTAGCCATAGCATTTAGTTTTGAACTGGTTTTAAAGGGAGTCGATTTGTCAATTTGGAGTGGGATCCACCACTCATGCGTCACGGTCATATTATGAGGTATCATGTTTTTTACAAGGAGGAGGACAGTGATAGGTGCGTTTTTTCAATGAATTTGCATTTAACAGTTATCTTCTAATTCTCAAATCCAGAGAAAGAATGCTGAATTCGTCGAGCACTTCCGTAACCGTTACATCGTTACAACCTGACACCTTGTACTTGCTGCGAGTTGTAGCCGAGAATGAAGCAGGCATGGGAAAAAGTAGCGATCACATAAAAATCACTACAAAGAAAGAGCGTAAGTTGGGCTAATGTATTAGGTTGGCCAAAAAATAATTTCGGTTGAGTTTGTACGTTTCTCACAAGTTCTGTATTGGAGTTTTG